TTTAAGATTATTTATGACTGAAAAACATAAATTTGCCACAATGTTCAAATATGAAATCATTATTTAATTTAAGCTGAGAGATTAAGACAAAGATAAGACAGTTGCTTCATTTAGGTGAATAGCTTCTTAGAGAAATAAAAATAAAAAAAAAATAAAAATGTAAGAAACTTTGTCTCAATAAATCTGCCATCACAGAATATAATCATTGTCTACAAGAAAACCATTGTGCTTTCAAACATTATGTTTGTGTATATGATTCTTAGATTTAAAACACATTCACAGATAATTATATTGAAGTAAAAAAAACCAACATACATTCCAAATATGAATCTCTTTTTAGCTACAGATAAAAAGCTAGAGGTTTTTTTTTTATACAAGTTGGAAGTGCATACAAAACTACACATAAAGCAGGAACATGGAAACTGTAAACACTCAATGGTTTCTTCACATTATGATGGTAATAACAGCTAGTTTCAGTCATATAAAAAAAAATTCAATTATTTATATTTTGTAGAAATGTTTGTGACACAAATCAGAGGTGTGCATGATACACATCCCATACAAAGAGTTCCTTATGAGTTCAATATTAGGATCAACTTTCTCTTCACCTTACTCCACTATTGTCATTTATTGTCTAATAACTATTTCATTGTACAACATACTTTTATCCATGCTTCATAAATAAATGCTTACATTTTTTTGTACAGCAAGTTCATATTTTAACATCGATTTGGCACCACTGCAGGTGTACCTGCAGTTGCTCATTTTTATAGAAATACATAACCGGTCATCTAGTAGCATTAGGTTTCTTACACATTTCTTGTCCTTTTTTTCTCCAGAATAAACTATCAGCATTTCTTTTTTATTCAGAACATATATTTTGTCAAATTATTATATACTCTTAAGTTTGAAATAATATTGACACTCAAACTATTTTGCTGATATTCAAAAATTTTCCTTAACAGAATATCTAGACTGATCTGACTCATACATAGAAGATTAGAATAGGTTTAGACTTCATCCTCTTTTGACCCACCAAGTGGGAGATGGGCTGGCTGAGGATCAGACTCCATAAACTGGTTGATGATCTCTTGCATAGACTCTCGCAGTTCCTCTGGTGGCTCATTGTCCTGTTGGATTTGGGAATCTTCACGCACGGTGGTCTCTTCATGGCCGTCTAATCCAATGGTGGTTTTCTTGTGGACTTCCTTCTTCATCATTAATCTGAACACGAGGAAACCAATCAGATATACATGTCAAGTTTTGTGATCACAAACCTTTGAAAAACATTAACAGTATTTTAAATGAAATATGAACTGTCTTTGCTTCTTATATTATATACTGGCACATTTGAGATTTACTCACATTTTTTTCAATGTTATTTATGAAGCAAACAGCCTAAAGTTATAAAACTGACTTAGAAAAGGTTTTGACTGAACTTGCAATTACCACAATAAACAATAAATAATACTACAGTTTAAAATATGCTTAATTTTTGTTTAATTCAATACCAGCAATGGAAATGTAATAATATCTTATATAACTGACCTATGAGTCTGGACATCTTCATCCCCTTGAGCTCCTGGACTGTATGGTTCATCTCCTGTTATTAACATGGAATTTGGTTGAAGATTTATTAAAGAAAAGAACATAAATCTGAAGTAATATCAGAAATGTATAATTTTACAACTAACTTAAATTGATTTTTAAAAAAAAGAATCATTATTACTTCTTGCTTAAAAATAGTTTTCTAAGGAAAAAAAAGAAGGAAAGTTATGAAATTCTAAAGTTGTAGTTGCTTTCTTAACAATGAATGTGCTAAAATAGATGAAGAGTGATTTGGAATAGAGTCATTACTATCATTTTCATACATTTAATTATATTATATTCATAATTAATACAATAACTAGACTATTAAAAAACATACAAATTGCTATTTCATAGCAAGTATTGCTCTTTTTAACCATGTTGGCAAGGAAAGTAAATAAGGTTAGTAATTTAGTAGAAGTTATTTCAGACAGTTAGCTATTCTTCAATATGTAAAAAAAACAAACAAATTAATTAAGTACAAGTGAATTTTATATTTTCCATCTCACCCCATTCCCAAAAATATTCTAGCCATTTTATAACAAATCTAAATTAACCATTTGAGTAGATGTGACTTCAGCAAATATGCAACAATAAATAAACAAATTGGCAAGTCCTGTATAAAAAATAAAATCAACTGATTATATTCTTCATATTAATGACACTTTAAGAAAATGTGTGAGCCTCCAAATGATTCAATGCAAATAAAAATTAAGCATGATATAAATAAATTTCAATATGTAAAACATGAATTAAAAACAATATGAAAATAATTATTACTGAAATCAAAAGAAAATATAAATTAATGGCATTTAAATCACGACACCCAAATTCATTGAAGTCTCTTGCCTTGCCTACAAAATAAAAATAAAATTAAGACACAGAAGAACACAATCAGATATAATAATATTAAAAAGTTTAACTAAGTGAAATCTAACATTATTGTGCGTCATGATATAAGAAGTCAAAAGCTTAGTGATTTTTATACATATTTAAAAAAAAATAGATTCTCATAAAGATGACCTATCTTTAGTATTTCTTTTTTTTGCATCAGTTGGCAAAGTGTTAGTTATTTTATAAGGAGATATTTTTTTCTTTCTTGCAGTGACCATCCATATCTACAACTGTCCATTAACACTTATCATGTATTGCACTTAAACATGAAGCTAAAGTCAAAGATTTGATTGGAATGATTGTACAACATCAAGTGAGCTTGGTGCCACCATGACAACATAAACCAAGAGAAACAATAAAACAGCAATAAAACAGCTGATTTAAAAGCTCTGTCCACCTTCACGGTTGCCATCATCATCATCATCACTTGTCCGTGCTTCATAGCCACTTCTTTCTCCTGGAGAAGACAGAAAAAAAAAATTATACAGGTCTATTCTTGTAAGTAAATATTTAAAGGAGTCTTTCTCTAATATTTCATTAGAAGGAAGTTTATTTTTTATAAAATAGAATCAATCACATGCTAGATGTATAGTATTCTTTTTATGGATAGTATTTTCATGGCAATATTAAAACCATTAACAATTTGTCTTTTTGATTTTTTCAAACATGGTTTTAAGTCTAATGTAGAAATTATTTTCATACTAAAACCAGTGAAAATATATATATTACTTGGCAACAGAAAAAAATATAAATAAGAAGATTTGAAAATACAATATACAAACAGTGAGCGAAATTCTAATGAAGTATGAAATCACAGTCGTAAATGAGATAATGAATTAAAGGATTTCCATACCAAAACATAATAAATCTGTTATGATGGAGATAACTGTTTAAAATAAAAAAGATAATGATTTTGCATTTTAAAAATACAGTGCTCATAAGTTGGAGAGAAAAAAAGAAGCAAACTTTATGAATGTTTGGACAAATTAAAAAAAAAAGCTCTAGGACTTTTTGAAAATTAATATTTTGATATGGAAAACACTTTTGAAAAAAAAAAGTGGGGAGTTTATACAAGAACCAAAGAATAATACAGTAAAAAGCTTAGATTCCATGAAAATGAATTTATGAAGTAAAAAAAAAAAATGGAATAAACTTTTGGTAAAAATTTCCTTACACAGGATCAAATTATATATTTGTTTAAAAGACTTTAAAAAAATAAATCTGCCAGTAATGTAGTATTATGAGCATCTTTTTATTTCTCTCGAGTAGAGGATAGCTTCTAAATATTTCCGTTGGTATATTTCACATATCTACATTTCGTAATCTTTTTTTTTCTTTAGAGATTTGTGATATAAAGTAATCTATACTAGATATTCAGAATTTTCTGATTTAAAGACTTAAAGAGATTTTCAAAACTATAAATGTAAGTGAATGATAAGGCACATGTCTCGCAACAGCATGTTTAAAATAAAAACCAAGAAAGGGGCAAATAATTCCAAAAAGCTTGTAATAAGGGATTGGGAAGATACACAAAATGGAGGAGACAAGCTAATCCAAATAAATAAACATAAATATATCTCAGGAAACACTTCTTTTAGGACAACTTTAAACTTTGAATGAGTTTAAACTATTCTTTATTTCTATACTATAACTTGATTATCCCTTAAAAATAAATATAAACAAATATCAAATGGTTGAACTAAACCCACCGCCCCATCAAGTAAAATTTTAAAAGAAAAACAAGCCAAATCAATGACACTGACAGTGGCAATTTTAGGTTCCGACGCAGAAAAGGTTGGAATTAACAGATCATTTCAAAAATAGTCTCTGATGCTTGACTATACAAGTTTAGAGATTCCCGGTACAAAAGCGAAGGTTAAACCATGATTTAATATTAACCTATGTATTCTTTTTGATAAAGAAAAGGTTAAGGAAGTAAACAGACAGCCATGCAAAATATGCACAATATATGTTTTGAACATTTTTACCAAAAAAAAAAAAAAAAAAAAACAAAAAAAAAAAAAAAAAAAAAAAAAAAAAAAAAAAAAAAAAAGGAAAAAAAAAAAAAAAAAAAAAAAAAAAAAAAAAAAAAAAAAAATTTTTTAAAAAATTTTAAAAAAAAAAAAAAAAAAAAAAAACCCAGAAAAAAAAAACAACAACAAAAAAACAAAGTATTCTGTGCATGAGTAAAAGATCAGCCTTAACAAAGATTAATATCATGTACATTTTTTTTGTAGAACTGTAGGAATGAGAACTAAATAAAATTAATCTTTTCACATTTAAATTAATGCAGCAAACAACCTTATAAAAGTTACACCTTTTGATATCCAATCTGACTATGTCAATATCAACCATGTCTATAACTATTCTTGTACTCATGCATTACATTTTGGAAAATATCAAGCCAGAAGCCAAACAAAGAAATGCAGCAGTTTCTAGAAATAAGATGACATAGTTCCAGTACCTCTATGGTGTGATGTGGTTGATGTAGATGTGGAAGAGGTCATGACCATCTTTAGGGAGGGAGGGGATTGGGACGAGGAGGAATGTTTATCTTCTTGGGACAGGTCCGGGGAGGATGAGGTAAGGGCAGAAGATTTGGCTTCTCGTTCTTGTTTTTCTCTCTTCAATCGCTTCATCTCCTCCCATTCCACCATTGTGTAAACTTTCTTCGTTTCTTGATAGGGTCCCCAAGCTAAAAATGGACTGTCCTCTCTTTCCACTTCTTCTGTCTCATGATGATGCTTGGGTGATTCTCTTTTGGCTTTTGTCTTGCTGTCCGTTAGGACCCTTTTTTCTATTTTTTCACTTTCTTCGACATCAAAGTAAGTTGGAGATTTTTTTCTGAATTTTGATTTGGTGTCAGAGAGTGGTTTACTTGTTGAGATTGGCTTAGCTCCACTGCTCATGTACTCAACGGTACTTTCTTCTTGTTGCCAATGAAGATGGTGCTCCAGTTTCTGATACTGATGTAAACCTTCTGATATAATCTCAGTCCTATGTTCGGATACAATAGTTGTTTTCTCAGATCCAGCTCCTGGTTTCAGTTGATCGGACTCTGTGGAGACTTGCATGATGTCATGCGACTGACTGGAGTCTGTGTGTGACTCGGACATAGAGTGACCTGTGCCCCCTGAACTGCCCATGCTCCAGGCAGCTGATTCTACAGACACCATCATTAAACTTTCTTCTTGTTGTGCTTCTTTCTCAGCACCACATTTTGATTCCTCCTTACTGTTATCTAGTTCAAGAGAGTCAGCAGAAGTTTGCATTAGGTCCTCAGCACCAGCAACTTTCTCTTCCTGTTTATCACTGGACTGTCCTCCACTGGACTGTCCTCCACTGGACTGTCCTTCACTGGACTGACCCCCAAGTTCTAGGGAGTCAGCTGAACGAATCATTCTGTCATCTTGTTCAAAAAGTGAATCTGTGTCGAATTTGAGAGAGTCTGTGTCAAACTTAGCAGAGTCTGATGTTTTCAGCCTCTGTTCCAAGATGAGAGAATCGGAAGACAGCTGCATAAGTGCTTCCCCTTGAAGTGAGTCATTATCCAGATCTATTGGAATTGTCTGAGCTGTCATCAAATCTGGCCCAGCGAACACAACACTGGAAGCCATCTCAGTTATTTCAGAACTTTCCCCGTCCAGGGAATCAGCATCCCCTTCATGGCCAAGCCTGGCACCTTCACTCAGAGAGTCAAGGTCGACGTCATCATGACCACCGTCCAGTGAATCTCTCTCATCCCTTTCATCACCGCCCCCAACTTCACTGAAATCTGAGCTACCAAAGTGACCCGAGCCCATGAGGACCCCAGACTCCAATATAGACACAATTTTCTGGGCTTCAACTTCCAGTTCTGTTGCTACAGCAATTTCCCTTTCGAGTCTTTCAAATTCATTTAAAGATGTGTAAGATGAAGCCTCACTTTGTCGGCTTGAGCTTTCTACAGAACTCTTCTTTTCATCAGAATCTCCCTGGCAATCGTGTTCCAATTTTTCAAAGTCAGCCAGTGAAGAAGAAATTGAGTTTGATGTGTTGTCACCTGATCCACCAGAACTTTTACTCTCAGGTGTGTGTTTCTCAACCGAGCTGGCTGAACTTGAGACCACGAGTACCTGCTCCAGGTGTTCAAATTCAGCCAGAGATGATGCAATCGAGCCAGCATCTTCTCCCCCCTTCAACTTATTGGAAAAACCAACAAATTTTCTCTCATCATAAGAGCCTCCAATGATATCCCTGTCAAGATCCCTGTCTATGGAGCTCAATGAGCTTGAAAATGGTATTGCTTTCTCCATTTGCTCAAATTCTGCCAGAGAAGATGATATTGATGTGTCATCCCTCTCAGCCCCTCGACTAAAAAATCTTAAGTTTGAAACACCAGGGGACTGCTGTACATTGTTATCAGGGGAGCTTCCAAACTGGTCAGAGAGTCCAGCTTCTGACTCAAGATCTTCTCTCTCAATCATTTCAAACTTGTCTTCATCAGACATCTCTGTTATAATGGAGAGAGCCGCTCTGTCTACAAACTCAAATCGATCACTATCAACAGATGTATCACTTTCTCTATCTTTCTCTTCAGCAGTTACAGCAGTCCACTCTTGTGATCGTTCCATGGAAACATCATCATCTTCAGTGTCATCAAGATCTTCCACCATTTCTTTCTGTCTCTCCTCTGGGTGCGTCATTTGAATGTCTGAGGTAAATGAAGATGTCATGGAAGCTATCTCAGCCAGCCTATTCTCATCGAGCTCATCCTCCTCATAGTCATCTGCTTCAGCTGCCATCACTGTAGCAAAACTGTCGACACTGGAGGAGTCTCCGTGGTCATCTTGGCTCATGTAAGGTTCAAAGCCTTCAAAACCATCATCCATCTGGCCAGATCCGGATTCAGGCTCCACATTCACAAAAAAGTGATCATCATCATGGTGACCCTGTTGCAGTGTTTCTGTGAATATCAAGCCCGACCCCGGATCAGACTCTCCTAAAAAATAATCCTCTTTCTGTTGATCAGCATCATTATCATAATCTACAATTATTCTTTGTTCTGATTCTTGCCCTGTGGGAGTTTCTGGTTGCTCATCTGAAGAGAATTGTTCATTAAAAGGTAGAATAAAATCTCTTTCAGGACTTTCCTCATCATCATCACCACCATCATATTCCTCGCTATCCTGTTCATGGAAATATGTTTCGGGTTCTTCCTTTTCATGGAAATGTGTTTCTGGTTCTTCTTCCTGTTCATGGAAATATGTTTCGGGTTCTTCCTTTTCAAGGAAATGTGTTTCTGGTTCTTCTTCCTGTTCATGGAAATATGTTTCGGGTTCTTCCATTTCATGGAAATGTTTTTCTGGTTCTTCTTCCTTTTCAAGGAAATGTGTTTCTGGTTCTTCTTCCTGTTCATGGAAATATGTTTCGGGTTCTTCCATTTCATGGAAATGTTTTTCTGGTTCTTCTTCCTTTTCATGGAAATGTGTTTCTGGTTCTTCTTCCTTTTCATGGAAATGTGTTTCTGGTTCTTCTTCCTCTTCAAGGAAATGTGTTTCTTGTTCTTCTTCCTTTTCATGGAAATGTGTTTCTGGTTCTTCCCCCTGTTCAAGAATTTCATCCCTCTCATCTTGTTCTAAGAAAACTCTACTCTCTTCTTCCCTTTGTTCTATGTTTCTTTGTTCTATGATATACTTCTCTTCTTCATCCTCAGAGATACTCTCTGGCTGGGGGGAATAGCCATAGTATTCATCTTCATTCATTTCCTGGTGTAAGTGCTGAGTTAATATGATACCAGGAATATCTTCTGATATTTGTTTGACCAGAGTTACACCTCGTTTTTTAGCAGATTCTGAAAACATCTCTGGTTGCCCATAATTGTCTTCAGTAGACATATCTTCCAATTCCTCAGTCGTTTGTTCTATTTTGACAGACTTCCCAATGGCTTCTACTTGTTCCATTTCTATTGCTCCTTGAGTTTCTCCCCCTTCGAGGTCTTCGGGTGTAGTTTCTTGTGATGATACTTTAACTTTAACATCTTCCAATATTGAATCCACAAATGTTGTTGCTGCTTTCTCCAGCACAACCGATTCTTCAGCCATGGACTCTTGACCAGCCTGAGGTGGGGTGTGGGATCCTGATATTGGTGGAGTAAACATACCAGACTGGGGCGGAGTAAAACTTCCACCTTGAGGAGGTGTGAAGTTGCCCCCAAAGAAACCCTGTCTCAATGCATCAGGTGTAGGCGACAGAGGTCTGTCATGGTCAGAATGAGAGCTAACACAAAGTAGATCGCTAGACGTCAGCCTGGCAGTCTCAGTGGCTTGCTCTTCTGTAGATTCATTAACTTCTCGACTTTCCTCAACATCATCATCTGTTTCTGCTGGTGGCTCCTCAAGTCTGATGAGCTCCTCCTCTGGACGCTCTTCAAATTCTTCTTCCTCTTCCTCCTCCAGCTCAAGTTCCTCTTCCCCCTCTTGTAGTACTGGCTCATCCTGTGGCTCTGCTCCACCAATGGCATAGCCTTCTGGGAAAGTTTCTTCTCTCTCTTCATAGGCCCCACTAAATGTCATTCCAGCAAAATCAACCTCTAAAGCTCTTTTCCCATGATATATTGTCTCTTGACCAAACTCATATGTAGTTTCTTCATAATGCTCCTTATCATCCTGCTTCATGGAATAAGGACTCACCATTTCTTCTTGTTCAGCTTGGCCCTGAAATTGTTCTTCCTGACCCAAATCAGAAGTAGGAGTCTCTTCTGTTGTAAAGACATCTGGCTCATATCCCGTCAATGATATCACTGGAGATAATACTCTTGTTTTATCATCATAATTCTCATCGTCTTCAACTGGTTCAGAACTTGCTGGAGAAATAGTCAAGAGAGGGGACTGAATAGGTTTTTCTTCAGGTAATGTTTGACTTGTGGTTGCAGTGGTGGTCTGTATCGGATGCTCTTCTACTGGGCAACCATTTCCTTGATCTTCCGTTGGCTGTTGAATGTCAGGTTTGGCCTGGCTGGTGGTCATTATGGTTGGTTCAATAATCTCCTCACCATCAGGATGGTCATCTCTGTCCTCTGGTTGTTGGATATCAGGTTTAGCTTGGGATGTTGTCATGATGGAAGCCTGGACTGGTTCCTCCACATCAGGGCTGCTGTCCTCCTCGGGCTGTTTAATTTCTGGTTTGGCCTGGACAGAAGCCATTTCTGAAGGCTTAATCTGCATCTCCCCATCAGGGTAATCATCTTCATCTTCCTCAGACTGGACAATGTCAGGCAAGGCTTGGCTGGTAATAACAATGGTTGGTTGGGTGGGTTCTTCCTCTCCTCCATGAATATCATCGCGTTCTTCTGGTTGTTGAATGTCAGGCTTGGCTTCATAAGAGCTGGACATTTCTGGCTCTATGAATTCATGAGGAGCTGAAGGTGACTCGATGGAGGTTGTCAGTTCTTCATCACTTCTAATTGTATGAACTGTCACTGAATGCCTCTGGACTATGTCATCTCCTCCATCATATTCAGGAATGTAATCCACTTCTGTGGGGCCATTCAACACACGAGTCCAGTCCTGTTCTATACTTTGGGAGCTGATATCAGGGCCATCAAAAGACAAATGTCCATCTGAATCCTCTACAAAACCATTCTGCAATGTTAGCTCTTGATCACTCACACCTATGAGGTGAATATCTGAAGCAGCTTCTGCATCAGGCGAAGACTCATCAGATTTGATTTCACTGAGCACAGCTTCTTCATCCCGTGGGGAGCTCATGTCATCTTCCTGGAGTGTGGTGTCCTCACCATCTTTAGAGTCCAATCTGTCAGTGTGCTTTAGCATTTCTAACTTAGAGCTTGCACTCAGCAAGCTAGTACTGAGATCAACTCTTTCAGTGCCGTCTCTTGGGGTTGACACTGGGGCCAAGGGTAGTAAGGGTGATGGGCAAACATCAGACCCTGACAAAAGATGACCTCTTAAAAAACTGACATGACTTTCTGAGGATAGGGCTTCCATAGTTCTGAGAGGTGAACTGGCATCTGTTTCAAACACATCATCTTCTGGACTGGACAAAATGGATTTTCCAGCAATTTCAATGGGCCCCTGTTTTTCAACTGTATCTGGTGAAATGTCATAAGCTGTGACAACATGACAAACACTTCCACTGTCTAAGTCGTATGAGGCTGCCAGCAATGTTGGCTCCACTGACAGTTCAGAAGATGATGAAGACACTTTGAAGTCATCAACAGACTGTTCAGACGCCCTTGTTGTGAGGCGATCGGTCTGGAACGTTACTCTTTTTTCAAGAGGAGGTGTTGACTTCAACGTCGTGTCATCTTCTTCTATTTCATCAATACCCGGTGTCTCTTCTATCGGACTCAACTTCTCTTCTGTTGAATCTCTCTCTGTTTCTGAGGACTCATAGATTTCATTGTCGGCTAGTGATTTCCCTACACTGTGCACAGCCATGGGGAAGTGTGTAGGATGAGCTGGCGGCATGGAAGTCAAAGTTTCTTCAAAAGTTGTACTTAATTTTTTAATGCCGCTCTCTCTTGAGGGTGACAAGGACCTGTCTTCCTCATCAAATGATTCCTGCAAGAGCAGCTCTTGTTGTGCCATTCTAGACTCACGGCTCACAACACTTATTCTTTCACTGCTCTGTTCCGAATAATGGTATCTTTCATCTGACATTTTACCATAAGGGCCAGAGAATGTAAACATAGCGTCCTCTTCACTTTCATCAAACATGGTTTGCTGTGGATAGGTGCGTGACACCATTTCAAACTCATTTTCTTGCTTTGGTGTTTCTGGGAACTCTGGATCATACACCTGTTTTGCTATTTCGTGTTTAACCTTCTGGCGATTTTCTAGAATTGTTGAAATAACATCGGCTTCATGTGCTGCATCAATATGTTCATACGGTTCACAGTGGGCGGCCTCTGCCTGCTCAACTTCCTCTTCCTCATTGACAACTGTACTTCCTGAATCCTCAGGCTCAAGTTCGAAGGTGACTCTTCGTTTAGCCACTGATACAGTTTCTGTTATTTCTGTCTCATCATAGAAGCTTCTTTCTAAGAATTCTTCATCCTTACTTTTATCTCGCCTGTAAAAAGTTCCCATGTCGATAGACTTTTGAGCTTTCACAGATGACTTCTGCTCTTCAACAAATGATTCTGAAAACTGCCTTTTATACTGATGAGCTATTTCCCAAGGTAGCTTTGTGTACAGTCCAGTTGTCTCGTCAAAGACCTCAACTCCACCACTGTCTGATGAGCTCTTTGAGGAAGCATCATCAGCTTCATCATCTGATGCAGCAACAGGCAGTTCCTCCCCACCAGTAGCCTCTCCAGGTGATTCTGCTGTGTCCTGGCCTGTAAAATCTGTGGGGGATTGTTTTTCCCTCCTTCCTGATTGTCCAACATCATCAGATGGTGCAAAATCATTTTCTTCATCCTCCTCTTCTTCTTCAATGCCATATACGTCCTTCAGTCCTCTTAGCTGATGAGAGTCCATGTACGTATCCTCGTAGTGCATTTGGAATGCAAGCTCTTGTTTGTAATCTGATGTATCCGTTTTATAATCGTCTGGAAAGTCAAAAGTAAGTGGTTTCTCTTCTAAATCTTCAGGAGATATATCTCTAGTTTCTTGCCTGACCAACTCTCTTTTCTCTGTCCTCATAGTTCCTTCATCCTCAAAATACAGGGCTCTCTGTTCCTCCTCCCTTCTTGATAGCAATACATCATCTCTGACATCTTTATTAATCTCATCCTCAGAAACCATATCTAGATCCCTCTGTGACTCTGACTCAGTCACCGATAGTTCATCCGTCTCACCTTGGACACCCTCTGTTTCCTCATCAGCCTCAAGTTCATCCCCTTGAACTAATCCACAGAGTTCAGGTTCCAATTCTGTGTCATCGATATCTTCCACTTCCTCCTCGTCAGGTTTCAGAAGTGTTGCTTCCCTATCATCACCGAGCTCATGAATGTAGCTTTCTTTGGTAGATTCAACATCCTCATTTGTTTTCCTTGCTTCCTGACCTTCCAGAAAATATCGGTGTGTTTCGAGAAGCTCTTCCTCCTGCCCTTGTACTATGGTTGGGGTGTGTTCTAAGTGTTTTTCTGTTTTATCAAGTTGGGGTTCAACTGCATCAAAGGAGAAAGTTGCCTCATCTGTCTGGATTACAACAGGTGAGAACTGGTCCTCCACATCTGTCTCCTCTGAGGTTTCCTCACTCACTTCTCGGATTTCAACATCTAAGGAAAGAAGTGTTAGTCGGAGTGGTTGTAACCAAGCATTTGCCTCTCAAGTTCAAGCTAAGGTTGGTCTTTTCAGGTTAACAAAAAGTAGTTAATATATATATTAAAAAAAAAAAAAAAGGAATTTCAGTTGCATGATGCTCCATTTATAGGAAAGGGAGGAGGGCACCCTGTAGTTTTAAGCCAACTCATGAAGGGCCCTCTAAACAGCTTTTATTAAATGAAGTTAATTGCTTTCATTTAGTTATAGTGGCAAATAAATTTCAAAGGCAAAGGAAACCATGCAACCAAACTGTGTCAAGAAGGAAAATCAAAGAGATAATTCTGTTATTATTGAAAAAAAAAAAAAAGAAGATACTTTGGACTGTGATTTCAGTGTCTAAAAGCCTTTTAAACACAAAAGAAAAAAGATCTGAAACTAAAGATAAAGCTATAGATATTATTCAAAAATATCATAAGTAACTGATGGGAAACGGGAATAATAAAAAACACATTGAACACTAAGACCTAAGTCCCAGCTTAACTACCTTGATCATCAAAATCATCCAACTGGGCAACCTCAGAGCTGGATGAACTCATTTTATCAACAGAGTGGAGGGCCATGGCGGCTGCAACATTTCGCCCTTCCTCCTCTTCATCGTCTGCTGACAGAACCAATATGCAAAAAGAAAGCCACATTATTCAAACTCTATAAAACAAAAAAGGGAAATATGTAAATGAAGCATGCAAGGATTAATTAGTCAATGGCAACACATTGGGTGGGTGGGGGCAGCGATGCTAGGAAAGGACAAAGTTACTCATTCTAGTTTTAAAAAGCAGTGGGACGTTTAATGGCCTAAATTAAAATTAATAAAACATTTATAAAACAAACACTGCTTTTGTTTATTTTTTGGAAGAAGGAGGAGAGAGGCAAAATGAGATCTGCTCAATAAGTGCTTTACAGCTTAAGATTGCAGCAGTGTATGACAGGTCAAGTGTAATCAAATGTTGTGTTTAAATAGTGTGAAAAGACAGAAAGCACTTCTGGAGTTTGTTAAAAACAATGAGATAAATGACTGCCAAAGCAAATCTGTAATAATGTGAATTTTTTTGGCTGCAGTGCTATGAACTTATGACTAAAATTTTTTTTTAAAAGATGATAAAATATGACAGTGAATTAAAAGGTCTGATAGCAGATATAGATACTAACTAGTAGTACATGACAGAAACAGTTTGTAAATCAACAGCGACATACACAATAAATGTGAAGTGATTATGAAGTCATTTCAATCTGCTAATTTATAAGCAAATTTGAAACCCATGCAGCGAAACATTAAAATTCAAGGAAATTTAAAAGCTTGACCTTTATAAAGGTCTGACGAATTATACAGATTTGTAATTATTAGTTTTATTTTAACTCATTTAGCTTCAATTTTAGATACAAATCAAGTAATAAAGTTCTCACATATTTACTTATTAAACTTACTACTGTTAAGAGTCATCATAGGGTTAAATCAAATAAACAGGAAATAGAAAGCAGAGACAAGAGAAAAGTGGGACATTCTCTTCTAAGCACATAATAATTAAAGCTAAATTATTGACACCCACAGTAACAGTTGTTCAAGCAAACACGATTAGTTGTTTTAAGGTTGTCCTTTAAATAATTTAGGGAACAATAGCTTATAACAAAGAGTAAGAAATTGATAGGTTCAGCCACACAGTGTTCAGTTTGCCAGCAGATCATAAAAGAGATATCAACACACCAACAACGCCAAGCAACAATAACACATCAGTTTCCTAAACATC